AGGGAACATCCAACCCATTACTTCATAATGCTTCTTATCATCAAATTTGCAATAAGGCCTTAGGTCAAATTGTATTGGGCGAATTACACATGAATATGATTTGTCTACTTAGTATTCTACTCATTTACGATGACTTCATGTTGTAAACGACACAATGCCTAGGGAGTACAAGATACTCGAGGCAGGGCCACAGGTTGGCTGGTTACCTTTGTTGTAGCTATAAGTGTATTGAGGCTCATCAAAGCTCTAGATGTATAAGCGACCAATGATGATTTCAAAATGCATCCAAAAATCTTCTCATCGTGGAAGATGGGGCAAGGTAAATGTGGTGCACAATCCTAATTGACATCCATCTTGTTTCTATATGGTGACAATGTTGGGAATTTACTTAATAATGAACAACAAAATTTAAAATAATTTCAATTCACATCAAGGATCTGCTTTGTGTTTAGATAGAAATTGTAATTTGATTTATACCTTTAGTTAATTCCGTGGAGAACAATCATGATCTGCAGTTGTCTAATTATCCAACCTCCAATGATAATCTGCATAATTGAACAATAATGAGAAAATTGTGATTTCTCATTTCTTATGCTAGCAAGATAATGATTCTGTGTTATAATTTCTCAAATCCTAACAAGTTATTCATAGATGTTCAAGTGGGCTTAGCCCATACATTAAAATTCACCTGATCCGATGTTTGTTTAATCTAATTAATTAAACTTAGTCTATAAATTAGTTAACTCAATTAATTAACTTTGATCCATTAACAAGTAACTCAATTAATTAATTACACAAATGTCCAAAACTTGTCAATTTATAAATTAGTGATATCATTCTTCTAGTTCTCCTTTTCGTGTGTGACTCATTAGGTTTCCGATCATGATATCTATGAATTATTATTTTGATCTAATCAAAATCGATAAATTAAAAAGTTTTTTGTAAAATTTATCATCAATTCATATTCGTCGTCTGAGATTGACATCTAGCAATGCGTCCGAACAATACATGTGACAGAAATATCACTTAGTATGATGAAATTAAACATGTTCATTTATCATGAAACCATAATCCCTTCAACAATATGATTCGATCAATTACGAGATATGAAATATGTCCATCTCGATTATTGGTTTATATGTCATCATCTTTATCTGAAAGCGTGAAATCAAAAAAGAATAGTCTAGCCTACCAACCACACATACTCAATTTTATAAGAATCTAAACCGAACTGCATTCAATAAACAACAACTTTCAACTAGAACTACCAAAATAGATTAGATAACAGATAAGTAGGGAAGAAAAATTGATGGAGATTATGATAGAGATAAAGATATAGATAGAATTTTAAGAGTAGAGTTTGATTCCAAGTATATTATTAGATTAGATTAGTTTTAATAATTCGATCAAGTTCAAATTTACTAGAAGTTTGTTTTAGTTTAGACTCTCTGAGTTTCTTGCTTTATAAATAGAGGAATTATTCATTTCAATTAGCAACTGTTATTATATGAATTAAAGTGATTTTATTGTTGCACTCAATTCTTTTTTTCTTGGATCCCATTTCTTTTCTTAATCTTTGATTGTTCTTTAACAAGTTGTATGCATCTTGTATCAATTTGATAAGAAAGCAATTCGTTCTCTTTTGACCTACATCTTCACAAATTCAAAATTCTTCCAACCGTTTCCATCCAATCCATATAACCCATTCCTTTCGCTACCCATTCAAGCCATACAACCACATTTATACACAAAAACCCGACAACCAGCACAAAAGGAAGAAAATCACTAATCTAAGCAACAACAATTTTCGGCCTTCGTTATTTTTAAGTTGAAAAAAGAGGTTAAAAAATTCGAAAAAAGGCAATTAGTTCATCCTGTTTAATTACTGTTCGGTTCCCAAAAAAAAAATTGAGTCTGTTTCCTTGGCTGCTACATTACAATGCCGATTCATAGGGTTCCTTGTTGCTACTGCATTACTTGTTGTTCCACAAATGCCCAATTTCGAGCCCTAATTCCACAATATACCAACAACCCAATAACACAACCAGCCCATGTATCCTCATACAATTTAACACATAAGACCACCCAAGCTAAACAAGCACACAGGCCACAGATATACTTATAATGGATAATTATATAAAACTAGCTGTTTACTTTTAAGTTTATGAAAAAATTAATAATGATATTATAAAATTAAAATAACCTATATACCCACCCTACTACCTACCCCACCAAATTGATTTTAAATATAAAATCCTAAATCTACCCAAAACCTTAACATAATTCATTTCATTTTCATTTCTCTCATCTCACATTTCTCCCACCACCACGCCGTCGCCGCCTCCCTTCCTCTGCTGCGGTCGTAGTAGCGTCGCTGTGACAGTGCTGCGATCGCAACGACGCTGCTGCGATGCTGCTGAACGCCAACCCCTTCCCCTCCCCTCCCCCTTCGCAGCAGCGTCACAGCGACGCTGTTGTCCCTTCTCTCTCCCTCTCCCTCTCCATCCCTATGTGCCTTGATGCAGTGATGTGCAAAATACATTGTTTTTTTCCTTTACTCTTTCTTATAATTCTGTTATGCGTAGACTTTGACGAACAGCTGGTACTGATAGTCTGTTATGCGACTCTCTTGGGTGTAAGGGTGTGGCGGATTGGCTGTTATTATTTGCTGTGGGTGGCAGATTGATGGTTGGTTGTTGATGTTTGCTATAGTTGGTGGCGAATCTATTGTTGGTGTTTGGCTGTTGCAGGCGGCGGATCTATTGTTGTTGGGGGCTATTGCGGGCGGATTTGTTTATGTGTCATGGTAGGTGGCGAAGGTCGAGGAATTGGGTTCAGTTTTCGTCCTGTCGTGTGTTCTGTGGTTGGTTAGTTTGTGTTCGTGTGGTGGCGATAAAATGACCGTTCGTGTGATGGTGTTGTGATGGGGCCGACGATATTGGTGGTGTTGTGCAGGGGCAACGATGGCAGTTTTTGTTGGTGTTATTATTGGAGGGTGGTTGTGACTGTGGCGGCAGGTATGGGATGATGTGTATTTGGTCGATCTGTGACCTGTGCCCAACTATCGGTGGTGTACTGGGATTGGGGGACAGGTTCGGCGAATGGGATGAAGTCTCTGTGACCAACCATTTGGTCGATCTGTGACTTGTGATCAAGTATTGGTGGTGTATTGAGATTGGGACTGTGACCTTAAAATTCGTTAATATGTGACTGAAAATATAACTTGTGACCAACAAATATGGAATAATTTTTTTAAGTTGTGACCAATTAAAAATCTGTGACCTCCATAAAAAAAAAATCTGTGACCTATAATTTTTTTATCATTGACCAATGAAATCAATTGTGAATGACTCAATTTTTTTATCTATGACCTCGAAATAATTTGTGACCAATTAATTTAATAAGTTGTGACTGAAAATTAAATTTTTAACTACTTAATAAGATATCTGTGACCTCGAAATCGGAGCAGTTATTGGAATTAAGCGGCGGTGAAATGGTCGCCGGAATTAAGTGTGGCCGGAGAACAGTCACCGGAGTAGTCGTCGAAGCAGTTGGAGTGGTAGAGATAGAGGTGAGGTGGGGTGAGGTGGGGTGGGGATGGGATGGGTTAATTATATTATATTATAGTTAAATATTTAATTTAATATAATAATTGTGAAATATAATTAATTAATTTATGAAAAACCTAATTTTTACAATTCTAAACCTTGGGACCTGATTTTTTATTTTGGGATAGATAAA